GGGGTGGCGGTGTGTTGGGGGATGTTAGGGAGGGGTGCAGGGGAGGGGTGTTGATGGTTGTAAGGGAGGGATGTTCAGGGGTGTAGGGGCATAGAGGGGTGTTCTTTTTTTTTTGTCGTTTTCTGAGTGTGGGGCCTTAGTCCTTGTCATCCGCAGCGCGCAGACCCCCACCGCTTGCACATTTTTCAAGAGCGGGTCAGACGGAGGGAAAAAGGGGTAGAACGGGGTTAGAGTGACTGTAGGTGGGTGCCCTACCCCGTTCCACACTTCTTTCCCCTGTTCCTGGGACCATACAGGACATTTCAGTTCTGTCTGTGACTCCACACTCAATTTTTCCAAAAATCATTGGCACACCCCATTTTGGCGCTTTCTGGGCCCTTTTTGCTTCAGTCACTCCGACGAAGGAAAGCAGAGCAGGGCGTGAGGTTGGAACGTCACACATTGGCTCTCACATTATCACCTCGTCCCCATCCTCACAAGCCAAGTCGGCCAATGCAATCCGCATACCATCCTTGGACACAGAGACTATACAACTGTTTATGGGGAATAGGAGTGGTAGGCACTGAAGGAAGAGGTAACAGAAATCTGGAAAGGGAGGAGAGAAGTGTGAAGATAAGTTCGAATTGCCCGGCTTGTCAAATTCCGAGAAAAATGTAAGGGTCGGGTGGTTCCCTCTGTTGTTTCGAATAGTTCTTTCACTTTCTTTCCCGGTTTTCCACAGTTTGTTCACTTTCTTTCCCTGTTTCCCGAAGGTTCTCAGAAAGTCCTCAAGGGATAATTTATGGTGAGTTTATCAGGGACTTCTAGCACCCGCTTGCTTTGTCCTTACCACCACCCTTGTAAGAAAAATAAGAGGCGGGTTATTGTTTTTTCTTCGCTCGGCACTCTCTGACCTATCTGATAGCTGTTCGAATCCTGCCTGTTGGTTGATGCTCTCACGTTCCCCCTGAGATTACTACGTCTCGCCCTTACCAGATGTTTGATGTGTGATACCTGGTGCAATCATTACTTAACGTTTTAGAGTTCTTGATAAGTTGTTTGATCGTTGGGACCATCCTGGGCTTGTGTAGTGTACTGGTCTGAAATTACTCAACGCATGTTTGTGTGTGTGTTGTCATGTTCGTCCTTTTTTTGTTTCTCAATGAACAAAGGGCGGTAGTCTTGAGATATATCCAGATGCCATTATTATGGACGTTGTCGTATATTATATGTCGTGATGATTGGTTATAAAGCTTCCGTTAGGATAAATATGTTCAACTTGACAGTTCAAGCCTCTTAAGACTTAAGGCATTGTGAAGTCTAGGGTCTCAACCCTTGATAATCATGACATACAATCTACAATAACGTCCATAATAATCACCTGTGGATATATCTCAAGACTAGAGCTTCTGCTATGACAAATATGTTGATAGTTCAAGGCTTGAAGTATTGAAATTGAAGGTCTCCAACCCTTATAGAGAGAGCATCGTATCTGTTATGACAGATATGTTGAGAGTTAAGCCTTTTGAAATGTTGTGAAATTGAGGTCTCAACCCTGATAGGCATTGTAATCAAGCCATGAATGTAAGCTATGATAATTCTGACTGAGTATTCAACCTGGGAACTCTTTTACTGGGTGTCCACAGCTGACAGCAGCAGGACGGTCAGGACCTGAGCAGCCACTTCCAAATGGCCTGACGCTCGGGCATTGCCACGGGTTACAGGGTGGCACAACTCACGCCAGCCAGTTACCAGCGTTGACTGGCCCTGGCCATCCTCCTCAGGCCACTGAAAGCCATGGCAACAGGAATAACCAGCAGGCGAGAGCAACAGGAAAAGAACCCGGCACCCACGAGGCGCCCCTCAGGCATGAAACGTACGGAGCTAGCCGACGAGACATTTGTGTTGTCATGTTCGTTATACACAACTCTGTGAAAGAAGCATGGGCTGCATGACTATGCTAGACTGTTTCAGGAGGTCAAACCATGAGACTCTGCCTAGGATGCATTTGACTGATGAATAAGGTCTCATCAGTGTCATGATGTCGCCAGAGTTAGAGATATCCCTGAGAAAAGTGGTCCCAACCCTGCAATCCTAGCAGATTGTGGCTCCAAACCAATGACGAGACTGACCAGCCCTAGCCCCAGGGCCTTATCTTAAACCTGAACGTAGATCTTAGCAAGGCCGCATTGTGTGTCGTTATGTGCGCTATACACCATTCCTTAAGGACGGCTGTGCTCGCCCGTTTCCTCGGCCTTTCAGCAACTAATGAGAAGGTTAAACCCCTCAGTCAGCCCGGCATAAATTCGGCTGAAGGTCAAGGACTTATCACATTGCCTTTTGTGTAACTTTGTAAGAGTGCGTGTGTGTGTGTGTGTGTGTGTGTGTGTG